AAAAATGCATAATTAGGTGTGAGAGGTATTGCGCATTGTTTTGGGTGTGTTGTGCATTTTTGTGGTGTATTTGTGCATTTTCCTAACACTATTGGTACATTTTAAGCGGCCACACCATCCACACGTGAAGGCGCGACCGCGTTCGAGCAGAACTATATATATATATATATATATATATATATATATATATATATATATATATATCTTGTACACTGTGCTTACTTTGATATAAACATAAAGATTTATTTATACCTAATATATTAATTATTCATCAATATTTTATTGTGTCAATTACACCAGGTATAAACCAAAAATTGTAGGGAATTTTATCAATTGATAATTTCACCAAATAAAAACTCTAATTATTTAAAAAAAATATATATATATATATATCCGATGCAAGAGGTACCGGTCCGGCACAAAAGATGCACCGGTCTTGCACAATATAATTTTTTTTTTCTCATGTTATATATTTTCACCATTTGTTTTGTCTAATCCATTTGACTTAAAAAAAAAAAAAAATTTACGTGTTGTGCATGTCTGTAATATAATAATTACAATCATTTTTACCCTTTATCGATTTTTTTGTTTTTTTGTTTTTCTGCTCCCAAAAAGTTGAATCTCCAATCCTAAGAGCCCCCACACTCCAACTCGACAAAGAATTTAAAAAGATGTAAATCACGGTGACTTAATGATTCAGCAAAAGTTGTCTATTTTTTTTTCTTTGGTGGTGGTGCATGACATTAGTTTTAATTTTTGGATAATAGGGTCCATACCTATATTGATTAAGGAGTTCTTACCCCAAATAATTAATAAATACATTTTTATACTAATTACATATTTTATATGACAATCAATATTTTGTCTATAGTACAAATTCTAGATCTTACCTACACACACATGAGCTGGCATTATGACTCTATTACAACTCCACTGAGGCTCGAACCCACAACCTCCTCTATTAAGGAGCAACTCGGTACCATTAGACCACAAGGTCCTTGACAGTTGTGAAAATCTTTATCGATAATTGAGATGTAAACTTCCAATTAAATTTGTATTTATTTAATTTTTTTGGAAAGAATTTGTATTTATTTTAATGCCATAATAAATTTACAATAGCTCATATCGAATTGAAAAGCGTTCAAGGAATAACAAGGACACCCACCCAGCTATAACTACACAACTCATTCTATGCTATTAATATACTAAATCTCGTCCGCCTGCGCAATTCAGTTGGTCACAAGAGCGAAGTTTGGAAACAATGACCCGGCATCGAGTCTCACTAGCGGAAGTGTGGAAAAACCTCTCAAACTGAGGGAACTCCTTGTGCACAGTAAGCAAAGGTCAATGTCTAGCCTCTGTGTTTAGATGAGTTACAATTATTTACATCCACTCAGATGTTCAAAGTTTCTTTTTAATTTTATCTATCTTTTTCATTTTCCCTCATAAGTTTTTAATGACGTATATAAATAATATATATATATATATATATATATATATATATATATATATATATATATATATATATATATAATTTATTTATACCTAATATATTAATTATTCATCAATATTTTATTGTGTCAATTACATCAGGTATAAATAAAAAAGTTTTGGAATTTTATCAATTTATAATTGCACCAGATAAAAACACTAATTATTTTAAAAAAAATTATATCTGATGCAAGAGGCACCGATTCAGCACAAAAGATGCACCAGTCCGGCACAATATAATTTGTTCTCATAATAGTTTTTTTTTTTTTTTCACCATTAGTTTTGTCTAATCCATTTGTGCATTTTTATAATTAGTAATATAATAATTATAATCAACTTTACCATTTATCCTTTTTGTTGTTGTTTTTTTTTTTTTTTTTTTTTTTTTTTTTTTTTTTGATGTATGACATTAGTTTTAATTTTTGAATAATAGGGTCCATGCCTATATTGATTAAGAAGTTGCTACAATATACAACCCCAAATAATTAATAAACACATTTTTATATTAATTACATATTTTATATGACAGTCAATATTTTCATTATGTTACAAATTCTAGATCTTACCTACCAACACATGAGCTGGCATTATATATTTCCATTATATTATTACGAATTCATGGTCCGACATACCAAGTTATGAAAATCTTTATTGCTTATTATAAATTCAAGATCCAACATACCAAGTTTTGAAAATCTTTATCAATGATTGAGCTGTAATCTTTCAATTTAATTTGTATTTATTTTAATACCATAATAAATTTTCAATATATCATATCGAATTGAAAAGAGTTCAACGAAAAACAAAGATAGCCACCCAGATATAAATAAACGACTCATTCTATTCTATCAATATACTTAATCTCGCCCACATGGGCAACTCACTAATCTAAACTTAAACTGTAATTTTGGAACATCAACTTCAAGGATAATTTTGAACCATGTAACTTCCGAATTTAGCTTTGAGGTATTCATAAGAGTTGTATCCCTTTAAGTTTTCTTTCCAATGTCACAAAACTCACCTGATTTGGACGTTCCTATGCAGAGATATGGTCAAAATATTGAGCAGTGGTCCAACTATGTGAGGATTTCCCTCTTTGACTCTTTACTCCGGAGTTAATATCAAATTTAGTCATCGATTATAGTGGTTTTTCTCGATTTAGTCATAAATGACTTTTTATTCTTAATTAGGTCATCGACTTTGATGATTTTACCCAATTGAGTAATCTGTTAAGATAGCTTGGTAATTTCACCTCCATTAATATAATACTCAATTAAGTCCTCAACTATAGTAGTTTTACCCAAATTAGTCTTTGACTATAGTGATTTTACACAATTTAGTCTTCGACTATAGTAGTTTTTATCTATTTAGTCATTGATTCTAACCGCCGAGGACTCAATTGGGTAAAACAATCAAAGTCGATGACCTAAATCAGCATAATAAGTCGTTTATGACTAAATCGAGAAAAACCACTATAGTCGAGGACTAAATTGGATATTAACTCCTTTACTCAACTCAACTTTTGCCTTGGTTTGTCCATGTGAAAGTATTTTATCCATCCTCTTAGCTTCTCATTGGCTACCATTGACTCCAAATGCATCCAAAATGTTTCAAAAAACATTCAATTCATCTCAATTGTAAAGAATTACACCACAAATGAATCAAATGATGAATACTTTGGTAAAAATTGTAACAAATGGCAAAAAAAAAAAAAACAAACAAAAAAAAAACAAACTTAAATGCAATGTAAAAATATAAACAATTAGGCACGGATCAGGAGCGTTATGCTATGGACCCGTGTCCACCATGCGCATGCTAGACATGCTGTACATTCATAATTTCTATACTGTAGATTCATAAAATTTATAACGTAAATTCATAATTTCTATACTGCACATTCATAATTTCTGTACTGTAGATTCATAATTTCTATACTGCACATTCATAATTTCTGTACTGTAGATTCATCATTTCTATACTGTAGATTCATAAAATTTATAATGTAAATTCATACAGTACAAAAATTATGAATGTGCAGTATAGAAATTATGAATCTACAATATATAAATTATGAATGTACAGCGTATCCACCATGTACATAGTGAACACGGGTCCATAGCATAATTGCCCACCGATCACTTATCCCAAATGTTCTAGAAAAATCTGGGCCCGAGTATGGAATTTTTTAAAATACAAATCAAATTATGTATATATAGCTCTCATTCTAGGGATTAGGACATGGATGACGTATACAAATCTTGATGTTCCTTGTATTTTCGGAAACACTCTTTCTATATTATAAAAGTTTACTTAGAGAATATATTTAAGCAAGTTTGGATAATAAAATAGAATTTGATTAGTAATATACTTAGTGTCTGTCCAACAATCTCAAAGTCAAAACCAATAAGTAATTTGTAAAATGTCATTATAATCAAGAATTTTCACTTTTTCGTAGCTAGTATAATCACTTGATCATTTGATATCCATTCCAGGGTGTAGTTAATTTAGGTGCTGATTTGTTAGTGACCTTCATGGAGGGATTATATTGGTCTTAGCAGAGAAATCGTTGTGCTGGCTTCGCTGGCACACAAGAAATCACTCTAGCTACAAATAAAGTGAATGGCATGCAGTTGCTGGACCAGAGTGTCATCGGAGTTTGAAACCAAACTCCTCCTCAGAGGATAGATGGGGGATTTGGGTGAGTCCAATGTAGATTCAACTTTCGATCACTCGTGGGTTCCGGGCGATCAGGAGAGGCCAGGTCATTTGACGGAAATGGAAGGCTTTTCCTATTAGAGAAGGCCCTATGCAGTAAAGGAAAATGCATGAATTTTTAAAAAAAGAGTTCGGAGCAAGAAAGCGTAGATAACGCCAGTTGGTGAAGTGGCGTTAAGCATCCCTAGCGGTACGAAAAGATGGCTATATAATCTACGTCCCTACCGCTCTTTATTTTATTTCGGTATGCTGCTCTGCAAGCAAGCTAAAGAGCGAGAGAACCAAGTGGCTGTGGTGATGTCAGAATTTGCACATGTTCAATTAGCGAGAGAACCAAGTGACTGTGGTGATGTCAGAATTTGCACATGCTCAATAAATAATTGAATGTGGAAAGGGGATCCTAAATAAAAAAGGAGTACATGTGTTAGCTATATATAAAGACCTCGAGTCCTAGCGGGGTTTTGCCTGTCATGTGAACAGGGTATTCTCGGATCACGCCAGAGAGGTGGCAAAGTTCTTGTATGAGGATGTGGTGATTCTATTTCAGGTCATCGGAGCTAGTGTAGTTGGTTCGTCGCCTAACTTAAAAGGTCATGACTGGAGGCAGTAGTGCATGACTTCAAATCCACGGGAAACATGTATAGGAAATAAGTTCAAGGATGATGAAAAGTCTCGATTGGATCCCTTGTCAGCGTAACTCGCGATTTACCTCTGCAGCAGCGAAGCTAGGATCACCTAAATCTATAAAAAAAAAAAATAAAATAAAATAAAAAATTAAAAAATTAAAATTAAAATTAAATGAAGTGAGTTTGTTGAATTTATTACAAACCGATCGAGAATGGGTGGCATTTAGTTTCAATTCCTTATTGATTGTGCAGATCGAAACTTGGGCTGCTAATTTTTTTGACCCAATCTAGCTAGCCTAGCTAGCATTGATGAGTTTCATATATGTTTCAAGAATCATTTCAGGAGAGAAATCAGTGAAATAGCCTTTCTCCACATCCAGGTCCTCTTGTGCAGCCAGCATCTCAACGCGATTCTGGACATGATCTGCTCCTATCTGGTTGGGCTCCAGCAGAATGCAGGCGATCTCAGTTGTGCCCTCGCCATGAAGAAGGCCAAGGGTCTGCACAGCAGGCAGCCCGCCGCCTCGAGCACTCACCCTCGCCGCAATCCGCCTGGCAGCCGACACATCAGTGGACATGATGGGGACGTTGTACATGGCTACCCAAGCCCGCGCGCCGATCATGGTGATACCTCTAGCTCTGGACACCACGTCAGGGCCCTCGTCGGGCTTCACCGGAAGAGACTCCATGTGTGGCCACCCAGCCCACTGAATCCCCCTCAAGTTAGGCCTGTAATATCCCAGCTCACGCCTGATTGTGTCCAAAGCCTTCCCGGTTGGATGCGCATCGTTATACAAATAAACCGGCACTGCATGCATAGATACATACATTGTAAGGATCAAGCGTTTAACACGTACTAAATACATACATGTAAGTGTAAGGATCAAGCGTTTAACACGTACTAGATACATACATGTAAGTGTAAGGATCAAGCGTTTAACAAGTACTAGACCAAAAATTATAGTTAGCTGTTGTTGATGTGCTAGACTTAGCCTTTTAAGTCCTTTACTGGCCTCCTTCAAACAATCTTCAACCACCAGGTCCTAGTCTCCTACCTCCGCCCAACAATTTCCCCTTCTAGTACTACTTTGTTAGTATCAAACGCTTACCATTACGTCAAACGTTATTGCTAGTGTCAAAAACACAACCACTTTATTTCTTTATATCAACACACATTTTTAAGACGGGATGCTAGACTTGACCTAAGCCCTTTAAGGTCTCCGTCCAACAATCCATGCCCTTCTGCCATCGGGTGCTATACTTGTCCTTTATCAGCCTATGTCCAACAATAACTGTACTATAGGATCGATGCTAAAAATAAACCAAGAATATTAGATATTCACCTTGCAACAAATAGTGTCAGGAGGCAAGAATTATTGGACGGAGACGGATGAAGAGTAAGTCTAGCACGGAAATACAGTAGTTATACCATGGATCCGGGTCTACCTTTCAAGGTGGACTCGCGTCCAAAATATACAATTTACATATTGAATATTCACTATTTTAATTGTGAACATTTAATATGTAAAATTGTAAATATTCAATATGTAAATTGTGTATTTTTAGACTTAAGTGAACCTTAATAGAATAATTTGTCAAGAAAATAAAGTTAGGGCCTTCCATATTATAGTTATATAGCTTGATCCTAACAGCAAACATATTAGATATTCATTATATATTCACCTTGGAATCGGTTTCCAAATTCCGCAGCCAATCGTTTAGCCAGCCAAGCAGCCTCGTCTAGCGACGCCCGGGCGAGAGGATGAACCGTAATGTCATCAACGACGCCGAGGCGGGGGTGAGCGCCGGAGTGGAGCTCAAGGTTTATGCCGTCGTAGGCAGCAGCGGCGATGGCCACCACGGTTTGCTGCAGCGGGCAGTAGATGGGGCTCCCGGTGGTGGCGTCGTGGATAACATAGGACACCAGAGTGTAGTTAATCCGGTTATACTCTCGGTCCTCGAATATGTTCACGATGACCGTCTCCGGATCATGCTTGGCGGCGCGTTGAATGGACTCCAGAGCTTCCCGGTTTCGCGATTCGGAGATGTGGAGTTTGCAGCACAGCAGCACGGATTGCATCACCGATTTCTTCTCCTTCAATTGGATGGGGATTAGTGCAAGCTAAAATAAAGTTTATTTTTGCATTTTCGGTCCCACGACTATTATGGTATAAACAATATTGATATTCACAATTTTCAAAAGTTGTATGGTTGATTCAAGAGTATCAATTTTTTTTAGCGCAAATGGTTCTTCTAGTGAAATTTCTGTCAAATTTTCATTAGAAAAATTATTTTCTCATCAGGGGTATAACGGCCTTTTTCTTTCGCGGAGATTTCACTGAAAGGACCATTTGCGCTAAGAATTTGATATTCGAAGGCCAATTATGCAAGTTTTAAAAGTTGTGGATCAATACTGCTAGTGTCACAATACTTGTGGGATCAAAAGTACGAAAAACTCAAGGAGAAAATGTGGAGGTAAAAAGGAAAAGACCATTATAGTTATGCTATAAGAGCATCATAGTAGTTTAACTCTTTTGCACTATTTGAGGGATTTTTGTAAGTGTGATTAGGAAAAAGATAAAAATGTGGGTGAAAAAAAAAAAGAAAAAATTAAACAAAATCTGACATTAAAAAAAAAAAAATTAAAAGTAGTGTAAAAGTCAGAGTGCCCGCCAGCTAGCGGCTACTCTGATGCGCCCAGCGGGCGTGTGTGGCGCACACGCCTGCTGTGGACGCAAATTGCGCCTAATGCGCATCTGCGCGCTTCCTCTTTTTTTTTTTTTTTTTTTTTTTTTTTCTCCTGCCATTCACCAATCTTTGCATGAATATTATTTTATTAAAACATGTGCCTCCCATGCCATTCACCAATCTTTGCATGAATATTATTTTTATTAAAACATGTGCCTCCCATGAGTTGCTATGCATATTACTGTTCCAATAACTGGGTATTCACCTCTGATGGTGATGCTTTAATGGAAAATAATTTTTTCCGTGAAAAATAGAAGAAAATTTTACCAGAATGAGTGAATGACCATTTGAACTAAAAATTTGATACTCGTGGACCAATAATACAAATTTTAAAAGTTATAGATCAACATTGTTAATGTCAGAATACTCGTGGGACAAAAAGTGCTGAAAACTCATTTATTATATTCCATTTATTTCACTAGCATTTTATTTTTTTTTTTTTTTATTTCTAAGGTTTGATTTTCTACGTTTTTAATCTTTAACTGGAAAAAAAATTTACGTTTTATTTTTGGCCTGAGCATTTTAAGCATTCTAGGCAAAAACTGCAACCAATTTTATTACTATTATTTTTTAATGAAAGAAACAAATCAAAGTCAAATATTGAAAATAAAAATGTGGATATCATCATCAATGACATATCATAAGAAAAATTATGGGAGAAATTTTTTTAGGGATGAATAGCATTATACTTTTGATAAAACTAAAATAGCGCCATATAAAAAGTAATGATATCAATTTTACCTAGAAACTTATCGCAAATTATGCTGTGCATTCGTATGCACTATGTATGGTGCATACAGATGCAAAAACGACGTCTTTTTGGTTTAAAAAAACGCGCGTCCCACTTAAAAAAGAAATCAGGTTCGATTCCCGGCAATAGCATTTTTATATATCCATAAATTCATAACTATATATCCATAAATTCATAACTATATATCCACAGTGAATGAATGAAATAAAAATCCACAATGAATGAACTAAATATCCACAATGATTGAACTAAATATCCACAATGAATGAACTAAATATCCACAATGATTGAACTAAATATCCACAATAAATGAACTAAATATCCACAATGAATGAACTAAATATCCGTAAATTCATAACTATATATCCAAAAATTCATACTATATATCCACAGTGAATGAATGAAGTAAATATCTACAATTAATGAACTAAATATCCACAATGAATAAACTAAATATCCATAAATTCATAACTATATATCCAGAAATTCATAACTATATATCCACAATAATGCTATTGCCGAGAATTGAACCTGAATTTTTTTTTTTAAATGGGACGCGTGTTTTTAGTCAAAACGACGTCGTTTTGCATTGTATGCACCCTGCATGGTGCATTTGGTTGCAGAGCATAACTATTGGAAACTTATGAGTTGGGCTGATAAAATTAGAAAATTTTAGAATTAGGGTAAAAAAAAAAAAATTGCCCGATAAATTTGATGGCCCAAATGGGCTAGCCTAAAATTGGCAAATTATTTTGTGGACTTGGATCATCTTGCAAGGTGGATTCGAATCTAAAGATACACAATTTATATGCTAAATGTTTAGAGTTTAATTTTTAAAAATTTACAATGTGTGATGACCCTGTATTGAATTTACAAATTTTCAAAACTTAGAAACACAATTTATATTCTAGATGTTCACAAGAAAAATAATAAAAATACACAATTTTAGACCAAGGTCCACCTTGCAAGGTGGACCTGATCCATGGTATAACAACCGCCAAAAATTTAGTGAAATAGTCAGATAGCTTGAGCCATTTAATGTTATTCTTTGTATCACAAGTGATGTGGAACAAAATATACAGAATTTATATGTAAACTCATCTTTAGTATTTTTTTTTTTTTACTAAATTTGTAAATAAAATTTTTATAAATATATTACAAAAATAAAATATATTTTTATGAAAATAAATAATGAAAAAAAACTTATGTATAACAAATATATTATAATGTAATTATAACAATTATTTTTAGTTGGAAGTTGAACATATATGTTTAAATTGATTAAATGATATGTAAGTTTATAGGAAGTATTAGAGTAAACCTGTTAATTTATTAAAAATAAATATTTAAAAAATTAATTTAAAATGATCAAATATTTTAATTAACATGCTCCGATAAATGGGCCGTCCAATTTTTAGGGTTTAATAAAAAAAAGAATAAGAGTCAAATAAGTTATTCAAGTGCACACCATAATGCAATTAAATTACTAAACTTTACTACAATGTAATAGAGCTAGTAGCATTCAAAAAAAAAATTACTGAACTTTAATAAAAAGTACAATTGAATCCTTAAATTAATCAATTTTATGCAATTAGTTCAATTTATAGGTTTCTAACATGTCACCACAAATTTAAAATATTTATTAAAAAGAAAAGTCCCCGGCTATGGATTCGTCTCTATGACCGGAGACAAAGAAACCTTCTTTGTCTCTGACCGAAGATGAAAAAATCTTCTTCATCTCTGGCCGGTGACGAAGAGTTTCTTCGTCTTCATGACTAGAGACAAATAGTCTCTTCGTCTCCGGCCATGAAGACGAAGACTTTCTTTGTCTCTGGCCATGGAGATGAAGATACATTCTTCGTCTCTGGCTGAAGACAAAGAAACATTCTCTGTCTCCGGCTAGAGACGAAGAAGGTATCTTGGTCTCCGGCCATGGAGACGAAAGTCTCTTCGTCTTTATGGTCGGAGACAAAAAAACTTTCTTTGTCTTTAGTGAAGGCGTTTTTAAAAAAAAATTTTAAATAATAATTCTTAAAAGTATTTTAAATTTCGGTGCCCTGAGAAAGTGAAAAACTTGTAAATTGAATTAATTGCATAGAATTAGTTAGTTTAGAGATTTAATTATATATGTATTTTTTAAGTTCAGTAACTTAATTATATTATTTTGTGTATTTCCATAACTTATTTAATCCTTATTTCAAAAAAAAAAAAAAATTAAACTCCACAATAAAATCAACTAATCCAAACAAATAATACTGACAACATGAAAACTTTTAGGGGTCGTTTGGTTCACGGAATGTCAGATTACCTTAGGGAAAGTTAGATTGCTGGGAATGTTAAATTACTGGGAATGTTAGATTCCTGTGTTTGGTTAAAGTTGGGGTATGTAATATAATCATGTTTGGTTTAGGGTTATCTTTTATCCACACACTATAATATCCTTAACATATTTTCATATATTTTAATAAATTTAAAAATTAAAATAAATAAATAAGAAAACGGTATCATATATAATTACATGATTTTAAAATATTAACTAAAATCTTGAACTTGAGAAACAAAATTATTTTATATGCTAACCTAACATAATAAAAATAAAAAATATATAATTACAAAAATAATTATATATATATATATATATATATATATATATACATATATGTGTGTGTGTGTGTGTGTGTAATAAACTAACATAACCAAGGTTATCTTACATAACCTTAGAAATTGAAGAGAATCACATTCCCTCCAAAATCCTATGTGGAGGGAATGTGACATTTCTTGGGAATGTTATCAAACAGAGGAATGTGAGCTTTGAAATGTCACATTCCCTTGGTTATGTTATATAACCTGAACCAAACGCCCCCTTAATAACAATAGAAGTCTCCCCGCCCGAGTGAAACGACAAACGAGAATCACGTGTCTCGTTAACAGGACACTATCACAGCACAAATTCGTGGATATGCGTGGTCCAGCACACCACCCAACTTTTTCTATGCTATGATATTTTCTAATTCCCTTTCTTCTTCTCTCAAATGCTAAGTATTATTTATTGAATCAGTGAAATAAGTGGGTAAAGTTTTAAACTTTTCTTAAATATTTTCTCCATCCTATTTTATATATCGAGTTTGATTAAAATTATTTAAAATTTAATTTTTCATAATATTAAATTTAGAATTAATATACAAATTTATATATTTAGAAATTATATTAAAAGTACTAATAAATACAGAAAATTAAATTTAAAAATTGTAATAAAATGTTAATAGAAATAAGCAAAGAAGAAAGACTTTATTTGATCAATGAAGAGAAAGTATGTCAGACAAAATGAGATATGGGGAGTAATATGTTAAGATATAATGGTGTAGTACATAGAAAATAATGGAAACAATATTAATTGCATTTTAATTTTTACTCCCACCATCTCATTTTATGTGTTTGGTTCGGTTAACGAGGCTTGACTGAAGTTATTTTCAATTCAATTTTTCATAATTTTAAGTTCAGTATTAATATACAAAATTTATATATTTAAAAACTACACTAAAAATATTATTAAACACAAAAAATTAAATTTAAAAATAAATAAAAAACACTAAAGAAAAATAAACAAAGATTACAGAGTTAGTTTGACCAATAAATGGTGAGTAGAACAAATAAAATGAGATAGAATGAGTATTATTCACTATTTGTTTGATCACAACACCGCACCAGTGTGTACAATTGTACATTATTAGGTGAAGAAACTAGAAGAGTACAGCTTAATCCTTAATAATTGAAATTTAACTTGACTATAATATACTTGTATTAAACTGAAAATATGACAAAAAAAAAATTATTGGCCTTATAAATAATAATATTTTATTCCAATAGAACAATTAATAAACAAATGTGAAAGGCTGAAAGCAAGCACATCAATCAAAATAATCACATAGTAGTCACTTCGAAAGAACAAGAAGTTAATCACTTTAAAATATGATTAAACAACAAAAAATGCGTGTACTCCCATTAAAAAAAGTAATTTATTAAAGCCAGTCATATTAGCAAGTAAAATTTGAGATTACACTCTTAAAAAACACATCTGCCATGCATAATATTGATCTTAAGAAATAAATTTACAAACGCTATTATTTTAAAAACTAAATTTTATTTTTTAATTTTCATTAAAATACAGGGTATGTACATCTTATGTGGGCAGTGGTTCTTTAAACATCCTTATTGCATTCTTTATACTTCAAACTTGGTTTTAGTTACTATAATACTATACATGAACCATTCTTGCAAAGATGAGAGAAGAGTGGTATTGAAATCTCCCCAAATGCAAGGGGCATTGTCTCTATTATTTCAAATAATCAAGAAAACTTTTTTCTCAAGTCCTATTCAATCTAGTTCAGGAAGTATATAGAAACTGATGATAATCTGAAAAATAGTAAAGAAGTGATCTTTTGTTGAAAGGAAAATTAAAGGAGAAGAAATGGATAGTGGGTTACCTTGGAATTTGGGTTATTGGCAGCCATTTTTCCTCTTGCTGGTTTGATCTCAATTCTCAGCTCTTTCTTTTCCTTTACTTCTTGGTTCAATAATGGAGAAGAGTCAGAGAGTGATCCATTATATAGTACACTTTTATTTTAATTAAATAAAAAGAGCTGAGGTGGAAGATTAGATGGTTTCTGGGTATGTCATTTTGATGTAAGGGGGCGTTTGGTTGGGGTTATATTGGATAACAAAGGTTATGTTGGGCTGATTATTTAACATGCCTATGTTTGGTTGAAGTTATATAATATTCCCTTGGAATCCAACATTGCCGCCACATCAGATTTTTTACCTTTTTTGAGGGAATGTGATTCCCTTGCTAAACTTAGGTAATGTTAGATTACCTTGACATTTTACATACCTCATTTTTACCAAACACAAGAATCTAACATTCCGAGTAATCTAATATTCCCAGCAATCTAACATTCCCTAAGGTAATCTAACATTCCGTGAACCAAACGCCCCCTAAATGTACAGGACAGATGTCCCCATCCACCTGCATAATACAAATAAAATGTACAACAATTATGACAATGAATAAAAATATAAATAATGTATTTTTTTTTTTAAAAATAATGACAATTTTAGTCCATTAATTATACATAAATTGTAGGCTCACTCAATGAATTATTACTCTATATAAAATTTTTCCTTTCATTATATTGAAAGTGACAGTTTTAATCCATTGCTTATAGATTTTATTATCACAGATAATTTATTCTGAATTTTCAAATTATTAAAAGATATATTGGTCATTTTGTAACAAAATTTCAAATTATCTCCATGAATCTTCATATATAAACCACCATATCATTTTCATATTAAAAAAAAAACAAAAAAAAAATCTAAAACCAATAACATGATATGATATGATGAAAAAAATGATTGCATCTCGAACGAAATAAAATAATACATACAAATAAGTAACATATTAGACAAAAGCCCTATTTGGTTAAAGGGTATAACTAGTTGATAACATTAGCTGATTGTAGAAAGGTATTTGGTAAATTAGCGGTTAGCTGATAGCTGTTTGGTATAATTTTTTTTTCTCAAAAAAACTAATTGAAAAAGTTGATTTGAGCAGCCTTTTGAATTTTAACATTTTGAAGTTACAAAAAGCTAATTAACCAAACACTTATATTAATTTTTTAACAAAATTAAACAATTAATAATAGTCAAATAAATTAAAATTGACTGATAGGCTAACTATTTTACCAAACAGGGCTAAAAGCAAATTTGAATTATATGAAAAGAGCAATCAAGATTTACTGATGAATTCAGAGTATTTAATAGTAAAATGCATAGACATTTGGTCCTGCAAAAATATATCAATTGGAGAAGCTAACATGTGATGCACACAAGTTCTGAGAGTGTTTCCTTAAAGAGATTGTTGGGCATCACTGGTGAAGGTAAAAAAAACAATACATTTAAGAGGAAAATATATATATGTCTTAGAACAATTTCAAGTAACTTTCAATTATCTTTTCCTGTGGAAGATCAGTATAATACCCTTTGCCCACAGACACACCCTCTTCTCTGGCAAGCCTTTCAACTTCCAGTTGAACTTGAATGCCACTAACCCTGCTTGGTTCCAGCAAGTTGCAAGCCACTTCAATGATACCTCCCGAATGAGCAAGTGCCATGGATTGCACCGATGGGAGCCCGCCCCCTCTGCCACTCACTCGCTTGGCAATTCCACGAACAACATTGATGTCGTTGGAGAAGACGGGAATGTTATAGTTATCAACCCACCTGCTCGCTCCAATGACAATCACACCTTTCGATTGAGTTGCTTGGTTGGGACCTTCATCTGGCTTTAGAAGCAAAGCATCTGAGATTGAGCCACCGGCCCATTGGTTCCCACTCGAGTTCGGCCTAAAATATCCCAGCTCCCTTCTGATTGAATCAAGGGACCTCCCTTCTCGATGTGCTGCTCCATATAAAAAAGTGGGAACTGCGAGCTACGTTTCAGATGAATTAGGAGTAATGCCAAAACCGTGCCTCTAATAAACAACGTAAAAGCCAATGTGCAACATGTTCGACTAGATGCCTTGATGGGAGAAAGTTTTTAAAAGCTTTCAGAGGAAAATACCAACCTATAAAATCTCAGAAAATTGGCAAACCATGTAGTTTGAAATATTGATCAAAAGATTAATGACAAGAACATAGGCAACGAAAAACCATGTGTTAATCCGAAGCTGCTCTGCGAATCTGTGAAGGATGATCCCATAGTATAGGAGAGTTTGTAATGATACTTTGGCCCTTTGCTTGCCTTAGATTAGGCTGTAATTTTCAGACTTGGGCTTATTATGAGCTTTCATTTTAATTTCTCTCTTTTCTTCTATGATTTTCCCTATTTCTTTAGCAATTCTTCTCCCATTTCTGAGTTACTAGTGTGCTGTTTTAATTGAGTTTATTCCCAAGTTTAACTCTTGTTTCAGACTTCAAAGAAAAATGTCACAGGCACTAGGGACTAATTTATTCAGTTTATGATGAATCTTTATGCCCTAATTTGCTATCATGTATCATAAGTGTTCATCCAAGCAAACATCTACTCTATGCAAACACAAGCCAAAGAATCCTAACATGAATTTGTAAGATTTTCCCATATAATATATGTTATGCTATAGCAAGTTGACTAGACCTGTTAAGTAGTTTGGTTGAACTAAATGATTAGAAGTTGTCTATCATCAATCAATATGTCTATATAAAGTTTGTATTTATGGGAAATAAGGCATACAGTATATAGCACATATAGTTCACTGTACTATACTTGCTCAGAATTATCCCGGTACATTATCTAAGATTCTGAGTCTAAGTATGGGATATGGGACAAAATGTAAGTGAGTCAAGTATAGAACAAAATGTCTGTGAGGCAACATGACTTAAGAAGACATCAACTATGACCGGAAATCATGGTTGATAAAATCGATAGGCGCTCCTCAAGCGTTCGGAGCGCTTTGCGCCGCCCTAGGCAGGGATTAATCGGCGCCCTCTTGTATATTTTTTATTTTTTATTTTTTATTTTAATATTTTAAGACTTGATAATTATAAAGTATTTAATACTTTAATAGTTAATACTAAAATATGAAATATTAACCTAAAAAATATTTAGATTTTGAACAATTTAAGGTTATTTCATTCAAAACAATGTTGTTTTGAGTGAAATAATCTATTTTTTTTTAAAAAAACTAAACAATAGTTAATTGGCCGACTAGGCGACCTAGTCAATGCCTAGGCGGCCGGCGCTTAGGAGCTTAGATTACCGATTATAGTGATAATCTAGGAGGCCGACCAGCGCCTAGGGCCAATTAATCGGTGTCTAAGCATGATTTTTGCAACACTGGAGAAATCAATATGGCTTCCACTTACGATTAAGATTTTGTTAAATCAATGTTAAAGAGTGTATTTATATCTAACAGAATTCTCATTATTAAAACAGAAAATCTGAAGGAGATTTGAGAAGCAAACCTTGAAGACCAGAGCCAACATGAGCCGCCAAAGATTTCGCAGTTCCAGCGACATCGTCCAAAGGAGTGGCAGCCAGCGGGTGAAAGCAAATGTGGTCCACAACACCAAGCCTAGGATGAGTTCCAGAGTGCGATTGAAGGTCGATGGTGTCCAAAGCAGATCTCACCATTCCCAAAACTGCATTCTTTAAAGGACATTGCTGCCCTTGAGGAGCCAATTTGGAGACGACAGTATAGCCGACTCGGTTGTAAATCTCATCTTCGAACTTGTTGATAATGGCAGCCTCCGGGAAAAGCTTGACCGCTGCTTCGATTGATTCCAGTGCGGCCTTGTTTCTGCTCTCGGAGATGTAGACTTTGCCGCAAGCGAGCATCAGTTTTAGCATTTCGATTTCTTCTTCGAGCAAGCCTTCTTCCGAGCCCAAGATATAGAATAAATCGGCACCAGAAATAACTGAAAAAGAAGATGTTTCGTTTCACTATTTTTTCTTTTTTTGGATAATGTTGATATAGACTTGAAAAAATATTTATCTAGACTTTAAATAAATAGAAAATTTCTAAGCTGCCCTCAATTACACCCGGTAAAATTAAAAATTTATGCAAAAAGTTTAAAATGTTGTAATTAGCCTATTAGTTGAAACATGATTTATCAAATGAAACTTGCAAGAGAAAATGTAAAGTACAAATAAGATATATATATAGAATAAAGTTCAAATGCGGCGGGGTCTTCCCGTGCGGCCGTGCGGCAGAATTCCAGAATACACCAACAGTGTTAACAATATGCACCAACAGTGTAATAAAAACACACCCCAATGAAATGCAATAAAACATCACAAAATACACAACTGACTCAAAAAAATACACCATATAACTCACCACCCCCAATGGTGTATTTCCGAATAGTGTATGGTGTTTTTACTCACACCTAATGGTGTGTGTTTGGTGATGCAGGGCTCTGTTTACTCTGTTTTGTGTGGTGTATTTTCCTAACGTTGATGGTGCATATTTGTTGAACTATTGGTGTTGCCGCACCGTAAGAAATCGTCGCACCGTAAGACACTGCCGCACCTGAACTCGCCTATATATAGGGTCAAGTTCCTGTGAGGTCAGGTCTTCCCGTGTGGTCAGTGCGGCATACACCATTAGGTATGTATAAATGCACCACACAGTGTTCGTAAATACACCATTATGTGTGGTGTATTTTTTTTGTGTTGTGTATTTTTTGACATTTCATTCTGGTGTATTTTCGAACATTATATGGTGCATTTATGCATACCTAATGGTGTATGCCGCACTCACCGCACGGAAAAATCTGACCTCACAGTGAGAACAGGTCTTCCCGTGCGGTCAGTGCGGCATACACTATTAGGTATGCATAAATGCACCACACAGTGTCAAAAAATACACCATTATGTGTGGTGTATTTTTTTTTTTTTTTTTTTTTTTTTTTTTGTGGTGCATTTTTGACATTTCATTCTGGTGTATTCTCGAACACTGTATGGTGAATTTTTGCATACCTAATGGTGTATGCTGCACTGACCGCACGGGAAGACCTGTTCTCACATGAACCAATATATATATATATATATATATATATATATATATATATATATAGGGTG